CCATGTGGCGCTGAGAAGGTATATTTTTTTTGTGTTTGGATGGAATTTTCTATAAATGTCTGTTAAACCCAATTGGGTCATAACTTCTGTTCGTTCCTTTGTTTCTTTGTTAAGCTTCTGTCTGGTGTTGAGAGAGGGGTATTGAAATCTGTCACTATAAGTGTGTGAGACTTTTGAAAGGAAAATACTCAGCTTTATATGAAAAAACAAGAGACCCAAGATAGTCAAAACAACACTGTACAATAAAAGAACTTAAGGAGGCATCACCATCCCTGACTTTAAGCTGTACTATAGAGCTATAGTCCTGAAAACAGATTGGAATTAACACAAAAATAGACTGGTAGAACAATGGAATAGAAAGAAAATTCTGATATTAACTCACACACCTACATATACCTGATTTTGACAAAACAGCTAAAAGTATACAATGGAAAGAGGAAAGCATCTTCAACAAATTGTGCTGGCTCAACTGGATGATGGTATGTAGAAGACTTCACTTAGACACATGTCTGTATCCATGCACAAAACTCAAGTCCAAATGGATCAAAAACCTCAACATCAATCCAGTCACACTGAACCTCTTAGAGAAGAGAAAGTGAGAGGTACCCTTGAACAAATTGGTACAGGAGACTGTTTCCTGAATATAGCACTGGTAGCACAGACACTGAGATTGACGATTCATAAATGGGACCTCCTCAAACTTAGAAGCTTCTGTAAGGCAAAGGAGACAAGTAACAAGACCAAACGGCAGCCCACAGATTGGGAAAAGATCTTCACCAATCCTACATTTGACAGAGGGCTGATCTCCAAAATATACAAAGAACTCAAGAAACTAGTCACCAAAACATAAAATAACCCTATTTTAAAAATGGGGTACTGAACTGAAGAGGGAATTCTCAATAGAGGAAATCAAAAAGGCTGAAAGACACTTAAGAAAGTGCTCAACATCCTTAGCTATCAGGGAAATACAAATCAAAACAACTTTGAGATACCATCTTACTCCTGCCAGAATGGCTAAAATTAGAAACACCATTGACAACCTATGCTGGAGAGGATGTGGAGAAAGGGGAACATTCCTCCACTGCTGGTGGGAGTACAAACTTATACAGCCATTTTGGAGATCAGTATGGCAGTTCTTCAGGAAAATAGCAATCTGTCTACCACAGGACCCAGCAATTCTGCTCTTAGGCATATACCCAAATGATCCACATCCATGCAACAAGGACATCTGTTCAACTATGTTCATAGCAGCATTATTTTTTGTAATAGCCAGAACCTGGAAGCAACCTAGATGCCCCTCAACTGAAGAATGGATAAAGAAGATGTGGCACATTACACAATGGAATAGTACTCAGCAGAGAAAACCAATGGAATCTTCAAATTTGCAGGCAAATGGATGGAATTTGAAGAAACCATCCTGGTGAAGTAACCCAGCCACAAAAAGAAGAACATGGTATGTACTCACTTATATATGGATTTTAGACATAGAGCAAAGGATCACCAGCCTATAATTCACACAGCCAGAGAAACAAAGATACAAGGAAGAACCTAAGCGATTGCTACAAGGTCCCTCACAGAATTGGAAAGGAACAAGATCTCCTGAGCATATTGGGAGTGGGGGGAGCAGTGAGTAGAGAGGAAGTTAGGAGAAAGAGAAGGGAAGAAGAGGAAAGTATTTGGGACTAGGAAGATTGAGTCAGGTGAGGAATAGATGGAGAGAGAGACAGAGAGAGAGAGATTCCAATAAAGAGGGAGCCAGTATAGGTTTGAAGAGAAATCTGACTCTAGAGAAATGTCCAGAGACCTATAAGGATGACCCCAACTAACAATCTGAGCAACAGTGGAAAGACTACTATAAATGTCCTTCCCTGATGATGACATTGATGACTAACTTATCTACCATCATAGAGCCTTCACCTTATAGCTGATGGAAACAGAAGCAGACACCCACAGCTAAACAGTGAGCCGAACTGGAATCCATATGCAGAGAGAGAGGATAAGACCAGGCTACAGAAACCCACAGAGACAGCTGACCTGAACAAGGGGGAGCTAATGGGCCCCCAGACTGATAGCTGAGAAACCAGCATTGAACCTACTCAGACCCCCTGAACATGTGTCTTAGTTAAAATGCCTGGGCAGTCTAAAGGATCTCTGACAGTGGGACCAGGATGTATCCCTGGTGCACAAAAGAACTTTGGGAGCACATTCCCCATGGAGGGTTACTCTCTTAACATAAGAGGCAGGAGAGAGGGCCTAGTCCTTACTCCAAATGATTTGACAGATTATATTGATCCCTCTTGGAAGGCATTACCCTTCCTCTGTAGTGGGCGGCCGGGCAGTGGGAATGGGATGGGAGGGTAGTCAGGGGGCATGCATGGGAGGAGTGGAGGGAGAGGGAATTGGGATCGATATGTTAAATAAGAAAAATTTAAAAAAAGTGTGTGAGATTTTATGTGCAATTTGAGTTTTAGTAATTTTTTATTTTTTTACAAATGTGGCTGCCCTTGTATTTGGGGCATAGATGTTTAGAACTGAGACTTCATCTTGATTAATTTCTCATGTGATGAATAAAAGAAATGGCATTCTACATCTCTTTTGATTGATTTTAGCTTAAAATCTAATGCTTTCGATATTAGGATTGCTAAACCCGCTTGTTTCTTGGGTCCATGTGGTTCTTTTCCCAACCCTTAACTCTAAGGTGACTTATGTCTTTGAAGTTGTGGTGCATTTCCTATATGCAGCAGAAGGATGGGATCTGTCTTTCTGTCTTCTTATCAATTCTTTGTCTTTATAGATGAGTCAAGATTATTAATATTGAGTGATTTTAATGTCCATTGATTATTATTGTTAACGCTTGCTTTTTTGTCTTTTTTTTTTTTTTTTTTTTTTTTTTTTGATTATTTGTTGTTTGTGGTATTATATATGGATTTCCCATTTCCTGCCATTTTTCTTTTGGCTCTTGGCAAAGTGGAATTGTCTATTGCCTATGTTTTTGTGAGTGTTGTTAACTTCCTGGGGTTGGAGTTTTCCTTTCAAAACTTTCTGTAGAGGTCGATTAGTTGATAAGTATTGTTTACATCTGGTTTTGTCGTGGAATATCTTGATTTCTCCATCTCTAGTGATTGAAAGCTTTGCTGGGTATAGTAGTCTAAGCTGGTCTCTTAGTGTTGGTAAAATATCTATCCTGGACTCTCTGGCCTTCAGAGTTTCCATGGAAAAGTCAGGTGTAATTCTAATAGGTTTGCCTTTATATTACTTGTTACTTGGATGTTTTACTTTGTGGCTCTTAATATTCTTTCTTTATTCTGTATGTTTGGTGTTTTGCTTTGGGGGGGTGGGTTATGTGGTCCACTCTGGTGCTATATAAGCTTCTTGTGCTTTCATTGGCATGTCTTTCTTTAAGTTGGAAAAGTTTTCTTTTATGATATTGTTGTATATGTTTTCTGCACCCAGCTGGGTAGCCTGCATGAGACTAAACTATGCCCTCTGAATGTGAGTGACAGGTGTATGGCTTGGTCTGTTTTTGTGGCCCCTGGCTGTGAGACCAGGATTTATCCCTGGTGCATAATCTGGCTTTTTGGAGCCCATTCCCCCTGGATGCCTGCTCAGCCTTGATGCAGTAAGAATGTTCTTGGTCCTGCCTCAATTTGATCAGCCAAGCTTTGTTGACTCCCCATGGGAGGCCTCACCCTTTCTGAGGAGTGGATGGGGGGGGTGGAGTAGGAGTGGGAGGAGGGGAAGGAGGAGGAACTGTGGTTGGTATATAAAATGAATAAAAAAATTAAAATAAAAGTAATATATCACTGAAGGGCTCAGGCCCGAACCCCCTGCTTTGGCAGCCATGACAGGCTGCAGAAAAGACCCAGAAAGACAAAGGCCCCTGACTCAGCAACAAGTACTGAGCTCCAGGCCTTTCCTGACCTTGCCCTAGTCGCTAGGAAGCTAAATACTCTCAATGTGGCAAGGAACCAATCAGAAGTTAGCTGGCAGACTTTAGTTGCATTTTACTGACAACAATGGAATGTAAAGCTTAGTAAGTACCCTGTGAGGGCTTCTAGGAATAGTGACCTTCCTGCAGCTGCAGTTGACCATTCAACATAGGACAAGCCCCAAGGTACTGAGACTGTTGCTGTGCAACTAGCTGGCCCCAGACACTCCCCTTGCTCTACCCTAATATATGCCCTGTTGGAGGTCCTTCACCAGCTATGTTGGATGAATGGGGGATTTTATGAGTTAACTCATAAAATTAAGTATTCCTTGCTTTTATATCTGATCGGGTCTCTTGGTGATGGGTTCAGAGTTTGGGCACAACAATCACAATATTTTTTGAGAAATGTTTTCTTTTCTAAAAGAAACATATAAATTAATATTTTAAAATAAATCATGGCTTATTTAGTGAAGTGTAAAGAAATGCAAAGCTTGGTTGGAGATAAATTCGGGGCAGAGCACTTACCTAGCATGTGCTATGTCTTCGATTTAATTCCCTAGCACAAGAAAAAAAAAACAAGTTAAACGGCAATAACAAAAAAGCATTTTCATACTTTTGTAGTAATCAGGTCTGTAAAGCTTAGTAAATTGCTAATGCTTAAAGGTAATCTAGTCCCATTTTAAATACCATTGTGTTTAATTTCACTTTGTAGCAATGAAAGAATAATTTTAGTGAAATTATAGGTATATGTTCAATGTATTATAGATAAATAAACATCAATAAGTTTATTCATATACACAGCACTTTGTGTGATTTCTGTTCATATGCATAACATGCATCATGTGGTTACTTAAAGACCATTGTTGATAAGGTGTAGACTAGTGACAAAGATCATGCTAATGCTAATTGGGATATGGAAATGTGCAGCAGGGAACACTGAGTCTGTAGGTCCACATTCTGGGTGAGGTAAGACAGCTTCAAGGCCTGAGCGGAATGTGTTTTGAGTGGAAACTCCTCTGCTGTGTGTAGAACACATGAACTCATGAACTTCACAGCTTCTTTCTTTTCACAGAGCTCCTTGGTAGATGTGCATAGTCAGTTCTTGGCAGCATTGGAGTCGCTGAAGGCATTCTGGGATGTCATGGATGAAATTGATGAGAAGACCTGGGTGTTGGAACCAGAAAAACCTCCCAGGAGTGCAACAGCACGCAGGATTGCATTAGGTAGGGAAGGAAGAGGAGAATGTTTTCAGGTGTCTGATTTTATTTTATATGATTTGCAAAACTGGGTTTGAAAATGGCAGTTAAAATCTTAGATGAAACTTCCTCATATGGAGTCAGATATTGAAACTGTTGGAAATAAAACCTGATTTTTATTACTACATAGTTAAATGAAAATGTTTTAGGTGGAAAGGGCAAGTACTAAGGTGTTTCAAAAGGTGATGATCCAATGGAAGCCACATTCAGATAGTGTTTTAATTAATGTTAGCACAGAAATTGTGGGGGACGTAATTCAAAATGCGTGCTACGTAGAACAGAAGCCTGTGTTAGAAGTAGTGAAGTCTTAATCTTCTGTGGAAGCCAAGATCTGACAATACTTTCTGACAGAAAGTAGAGGGAAGGACACTGAGTTGGGTCCTGCTGCTGAGAATAGAGGTAAGGCTCCAAGTTGATGGTTACATCCTTTACTGAAAGTACAGGGGCATGTGTACAGTTCCCATAGTCTGCAGCCTCATCAGATGGCGGTTTGTTTATCAGCAAACAAAACAAAGCCGGTTTTAGAGTTCAACCTTTGTAAAGATTTTAGATTTTTAAACTATTATTTCTCACCACATTATGATAATATCTGCTTATAGTCCTCCCATTTAATATTTTTCTCTTTTTGTTTTAGTCTTGTTTGTAAATGGAATGCTTAATTGGTATAAGTAATAAAAACCCAGAGTCAGATATAGAGGGAAATACTAAGAGATCAGAGAGAAGGAGCAAGGCACAGCACACCTTACCTCCTTGGAGTCTCAGCAAACAAGAGAGGGAGTTTCTGTTTCTCCCTGCTTATATCCTATTTCACCCAGTTACCTCACTTCCTGCCTGTCTATACAGACCTCCAGAACTCTATGGTTAGCTAGTGACAAGCTCCATTCTCTGACCTTCAGACAGGCTTTATTTGTACTAGCAGTATATCACCACACTTGTTAAATGCTACTGTAAAGGATATATTCCAATAGACAATTCGAAACAGTTATGTGAATCTGACTGAAGTCAGTGAGAAGCTTCTATACTTTCTATATAGTGTAATAGGAGGGCAGGGCTGCAGAGTATAGTAACTGCAGAAATTTACTAGCAGCATTGTTACTTTCCTGTTTGAGAAAGTCTATTAGTATTTAATTTTGGATAATCAATTATATGTGTCATGGTTTATTATCATCACAGCCCCATTAAAATAATTATCCTTGAGCCATGCTTTCTGTTAGAGTTCTTATAGTGCAGCTCATATACTCAAGTTGTATTCATGGTCTATGTTTACTTTTAGCTCTACCTCCTGCTTCAGGCAATGACCTGCTATCTTCAGGCCAACCTTTGAGGTGAAAGCTGTGTTCCTATGGCCATTGCCTAAGGGACAGCACTGTCTGGTCTATAGAAGACAGCATTGCCCTAGGCTACTGAAAAGTGTGTGCTGTACTGACAAATGGAATGGGCAATTTTAATTTTTCTCATTGAATGGCTATATCATATATTACTTTTTTACTCTGACAATTTTTTTTGCCAGATTTATGTATTTAAATTTAATATTGCCAACTTTAGCAAAAAGTTTATAGAATTTATCATGTCCCTTTTGTTATGAGTCCAAATTGACCTTGGCACATGCCTTCACCAGCAAGTAGACAGCTCTGTGACATTAGTGCATGCTCAGTAGTTAACCCTGTAAAAGGATCTAGTGCTAAGTGAAGTCATTTTTCTTAGCTTCAAGGGCATTAAGTAAGAAAAACATTTGTTGAATTAAACATTTGTTAACTTACAAGGAAAAGTCTCAGCTTTTTGTAAAGCATAAATATTCAGAAGGTTTTTATGTAAGTTTTCTTGGACATGTTAGTTTTTACCAGTTGTAACACTAGTTTTTATTTTTGACCATGATCATAAGAAATATTAAATTTGTAAAGAAAGTTATGAAAGGTAATTTAGCTCATTACTTAAGTATATGATTTTTTATATATTCAAGTCCTTTATAATTTAACTGAAAATGTTTATTAAACTTTATTGGAACCTAATTACAAGAATACCAGTTTAAGTTAATAATATAAATTTTGGTCTTGTCTTTTGAAACTTGGAAACTTGAGGTTCCTGAATCTTTAATGATAATCATAATTTCAAGAACACTTCTCAGTGTTAAACAATGATATGTTTACCTCTACCGAACACTAAAAAATAAAAATAAAAAACCATTTGGCTAGCTGTTCTGAAGAATAAAATAAGTGTCCAGATCAGCATGCTCCGAGTTTCTATTGGCTTGCTTGATGTGCTGCCTGCATCTAAAAGCTTTCTTTCATTTCAGGGAATAATGTTTCCATCAACATAGAGGTAGACCCCCGGCACCCTACCATGCTTCCTGAGTTTTGCTTTCTTGGAGCTGACCATGGTATGAGATCTTAAAGTTACAGATCTGGAACAGAGTCATAAAATCCCATCTAACATTGTTACAATTGTTTAAAATGCGTTTCTCATTCTGAACTGTGCTTTATAACTAGATTATTAAGATTTTAAGCCTAAGAGCTAAACAAATACTGTAATAGTGCTATCTTTTCAAAAAAAGGGTAACCAAGCCTAAATTATTAACTCTTTCCCTCTTTTTAATATTCAAAGTGATAAAACCCCTGGGAATCAAGCTGAGTGGGAATATACATTTATGGTAGGTACCTTGACAATGTAAATTGGTGTCATTCTATGGTTTAACACACTTTATAGAAAATTTTTTCTCTGTGTTTTCAGGGATCCAGAAAATAATCTGTTACAAAATTTGAAAGATGTTTTAGAAATTGATTTTCCAGCTCGTACTGTTTTGGAAGAATCTGTAAGTTTAATTAATGGCTTTAATAGTTTCTATTTTGTGAATAATAAAATTTAAGTCCTCTCAGGAAAACTAGGCTGAAAAAGAAAAAAAAAAATGGAGAAATGTTGAAACGATCTGTTACAAGTAACGTTTTTCTCAATGAACTTGCTACCTCTGCTAGGTGGTAAGCAGCCTTGGCATCAATGAATTTGCTACCTCAGCTAGGCAAGTTACTTGAGTTTTGTTCACCATCTTCAGCAGCAAGTGGTTAATGAGAGCTACACTTATGAAAACTACAAAGGAAAGAAGAGACACTAATGAGATGTTTGAGGTTTTTTTTTTTTGTACTGTCTGCTTATGGATGACTACAGTAAAATTTTAAGTTTGTGAAGGACAGCAGTAGTTTTTCAACAGTGAGAAGCACCATTAGTACTGTAAAGATAATGAAGGCAGGGTTGACTGTGGACTGAACCATTGCTGTTAACACTAAATGATAGTGTCAGTTTTTTTGTTTTTTTTTTTTTTGTTGTTGTTGTTGTTGTTTTGTTGTAGAATTGTGCAATTTGGTGTTCACTAGCGATGTCAGATCTGTCTTTGTTTATGCAAAGACAAGATTATATATGTAGAATAACTGCTAAGCAAAAATTTTGCCTACCAAAAAAATATCTGTGTATTTAAGTGCAAAAGGGAACACTATGCAAATGGCTAGGTGTTATAATCTGCTTATATGTTCTTCAATACAGAAGTTTACTTTATAAAACAGATAAAAAATAAATATTAAGTAGTAATATTCATTCTTCCTAATTGTACCATATGCACGTTTAAGAGTATACTAACTAAAAGTTTTCTTTTGAAGGACTTTAGCATGGACTGTGGAATCTGTTATGCCCATCACCTTAATGGTGCCATTCCTGATCAAGTATGTGATAACCCTCAGTGTGGACAGCCTTTCCATCAAATATGCTTATATGAGGTAAAACCAGCAGTCATGTACATATGAAATATAGTATATAAATTCTGTTTGCTGAAGTATTTCCCTCCTTTGCAACAAACACCAATTACTAGTTAATTTTACATTCTCACAGCTTCATTTCCTCATCTTGGATACTATTGGGTGTGTCTGAGAGTCCCAGGGAGAAAAAAAATCTATAACACGAATCTATAACTCGCGAATAGCATATTGACACATAATAAATTGGTGGTAGGTATAACTGAAATCTTCCTAGTCTGCCACCACTATGTAAATTCTCTAGATCTGCCAGATGAGGGAGATGGTAGGAATGGAGTAAGGCAATCAGTAAGTAAGTAGTACATACTACTTTATAGGCTGCCTGTGAGTATAGAATAATGCAATAACTCTCTTTTGAGTATTCAAAGGTTTTTGTGACCTGAGTATCTCTCGGCTTTTTATTTAGCTTTTCCACAAGAATTGCACTTTCATCCTCAGGCATTTAATTCCTGTACTCTCCTGTTGGGACACAGGTCTTATGACTGTCTCTACACAAAGTACCTAACAGAGGGAAAGTGCCATTAGTTTCAGTCTTTCTCTTTGGACATAGGTCTAATAGTTGGTGTCATTTACCCTTTCTTAATGGGAAACTTAGCGACAGTCATTTTATCATAGACAATCATAAAATAACATGTCTACTCAGAAAATTCTAATGGAATCTGTACTTTCTTTTTGTAATAGTGAATGTTCACTTTAATTTTTCAAAACTGTTGCCTCTTGCTTATAATCAGTGTAGTGAAAACTAACCCATTGTTGAATCAAGATCAGAATCTCAAAATCCTAAGATATGCTTTCCAGATTAGTTATTGGTATGTGGTTAACTGGCTTAGGTGTGTGACCCACAGGAAATGTGGGGGTCTCTGTGTGTCTGTTTTGCATGTAACATGTGTAATTGTTAGCCATACCCTAAAGGGCCCATAATTTGCTTTTACACTAGAAGTCAATATCCCAAATCTTAATACTGATTTCCCAGTTATTCAATATTATAATAATTGGGCATGGGCTCAGACAAGGTTTCCCTTTCATAAAACAGTGCATGTGTGCACTGACACTGTCCTTCACTTTCTTCCATGCAGTGGCTGAGGGGGCTGAGCACCAGCAGACAGAGCTTCAATATCCTCTTTGGTGAATGTCCCTATTGCAGTAAGGTAAACCAGTTGTCAATCACATTTTTATCAAGTGTGTCTCCCTCTAAGGACTGTTAGAGAAATTAGATATGTAGTACCTTAAGATTGTCTAAAAGCTTTTAAAATGTGTTGTTCTTTATTTAATGAAACTATGGTAGTTTCCTATGAGAGAAGCTAGCCTTATACATATCTTAATTTTCAAATTCTCTTTGATTAAAAAGATTTATGTCTCCTGGATTTCATGGTAGTCTTCAGAAAAGTATTTCAAAAGTGTATGGTGAAAGAATTTCTAATAAAATGCCAATAGTAAATTAAAATATTTTAATTCTTAAGAGTATGCCCAAAATTATGGTAAAATATATTCTCTCGCTCTCTTTTTTTAAAGCCAATCACCTTGAGAATGTCTATGAGAAAATCGTGAAGAATGAGACACACCTGTCAAGAGAAGGAATCCTTATAAATTGTTAAAAAAAAATCAACAAACTGATTTCTTTGATGACTTCAGAGAAAATATAAAGCGAGACAAACTAGTATCAACAGGCACAATATAGTGAGTCCATAGTTATATACATCTGCCTTCATGTTTTCACTCAGGGTCACTGGGAAAGCTGAAGACCAAAGTCTTGGAGGAGTTCCCAACTCTGTGACACCCACATCACTGGTGGAAGTATATCTGTACTGAGGTGGACACCTTGGCTTCCTGATTGTATCTCTGCTGATGGGATCCAGATAGGGCTTACAATGCGAAGCTTGGAAACCCATATAGTTGGGTGTCTGTTGAAGACTGTGCATGCCACTCTGAAAATCTGAATACTCATATGTATTTCTTCTCCTCAAGTTTTCCTGTGAAAGAAATGTATTTTGTTAGATTTGAGTTATCCAGGCATTTATTGTGTACTCTGTAACAATGCCAAATAAAACATAGCAAGCAAGTCTGGGCACTGAAATGGCTTTTGACACTTGGCACATCATGACAGTGCAGAGAGATTTTGCAGGGATGTGGCTCCACAGCACTCTAGCAGGTAGATTGTGTCTCATGTCTTGAAACAGAAACAGTTGAACTCCTGTTGACTGCTCATTACTTAACCTGATGGAGGTCCATGATTGCTCTGTTTCTGCTTTAGCCTGGTGATATCTGCCTCACCCTCTCCTACCACAGTTACTGAGTAATTTAAAAGAGACAGCTTCGTTGTTAAGAAAGCGTGAACTTCATCTTCTTCACTGTTAGCTTCATTTGTCATGCTGCATCCTCAGAACTGCCACTTTTCAAGCAGCCATTCTTCACCCCCTCCCCCACGTGAGGTCCAAAAGGATTACATGAGTTATGGGTAGGCCAGGCACAATGGTGCATGCCTATAATCCCAGAACTTGAGAAGATTTCTGAGTTTGAGGCCAATCTGCTTTACATGGAATTCTAGGTCAGCCAGAGCTACGCAGTCTCAAACAATGCCACAAATCAAGCAAAACCCAAAACCAAACAAAAGATATACTTAGGAGAAGTGTTTTCTTATTAAATAGAAGCCAGTTATTGTTTGAGATTCAGATGAGAATAGCTTTTTACTGACACTTTTAGTTACTAAAAGAAAATAAGTGATTTTTTTTTTCTAGGATAACAAATCATTCTCATGTAAAGGGAAAAAGACACTACCAAATAAATTTCCAAGGAACTATTTCCAGGTACCATTGTGAAGTTGGTTATATACCTAGTCAGGAACAAAATTACACCACTAAATTTTTAAGAGGGAAATTCTGTGACTTTTATCGTGTGTCAGTGACAAGTAATGATATCACATAGGGAGATAGTGTATTGGTTGAGAAGGCAGGCTATGATATAACCTTACAAATTTTCTTCATGAAAAACTTGCATGTTTTACTAATAGTTTCATTGGGACACACCCTCATCCATTTGTCTATGTTTCATCTATGGTTGTTTTTTGCACTCGAATAGCACACATGAATAGTTCTGCTAAAAATGATGGGTTATAAAGCTAGAAATATTTTCAACCTGGACACTTGAGAAAAAATGTTGCTGGGCTGGTGTTTGCTTAAGTAAAGAGTTTGCTTTAAGTACATGTGAATTCCTGAACTGACCCTTGGCACTGATGAGGTGTTTACTGATATCTGCATAAGAAACTGTTTTCCATACATGAGAAGGTCAGTAGGTCAATTCCTCTTCTCTGTGATAAAATACTCTGACAAAACTACTTAAAGGAGAAGGGCTTATTTTGGCTTACAGTTCCAGCATAAAGGGCCCTTCACAGAGGTAGGCAGAGAAGGCATAGTGGCAAGAGCAGGAATCTGGCTAGTGACAGATCCTCCACACAGCAGAGCAGAGGGTAAACAGAACAGATAAGCTGAAGGTTTCAGTCTTCCTCTAGTAACTCACTTCCTCCAGGAAGACTCCATCTCCTTAAGTATCCACAAGCTTCCCAAACTACCATCAACTGGGAACCAAGAAGACATTTCCTCCTACCAGACCACACAGAAGGCAAAGAGATGATTGTATTAAAATATAGCTCGCTCTTTCTCAGGTTGGGATGTGTTGTGGCTGCAACTCTGTTATCCAAAAACACTAGCACAGCTTGTTTACATGTATAACTAGGGCTTAAGGCAATGTAGTAATCTACTGGGTCTCAACTTAGAGTTATGCTAACCACAGAAGAAAACAATTTCTGGAACCATTTGGGTTGCTACAACTGGGAGGAAGGACTATTAGCATCTAGTAGATACATACCAAGAATGATGGTAAATATCCTACAAACATACATGTCCATCATCCTTAGCAAATAGCTAAACCCTAAATGCCAATAGTAGTGCTTCAAGAAGACCATCTTTAGAGCAGTTATTAACCTGAAGTGTACATTACAGAGAGCTGTGAAAATACCAATGCCATTTCTTCTGTTCAAGCATGCATAATGGGTATCATACAACCTCTTGCTATTAAGCTGATGAAATGGACACAAAACAATAAATCAGACAAAAGTATATAACGCCACTTTAAAAGTATCTCAAACTAACAAGGAATACACAAGGAAAGACAACAGCCTAGACTTCCGAAAGTTATAATTTAAGATTGTAAAGCTAAACCAGAAGAAAAACGATAAATAGAAGTCATGCAATGATCAAGTTCAGTGAGTAAATCCACTTCCAGGGAGCTAGAGAGATGGCTTGGTGTTTAAGAGCATGTACTGCTTTGTCATAGGACCTACCTTTGGTTCCCAGGATCCCAGGAGACTCCATGGCCTCTGTGGGCACCTGTACTAATGTACACTTAGCTCACATTCAGAAACACACAACACATAATTTTTTAATTAAAAAATATGTAAATTCCACTGCAAGAACAGACTCCAAACACTTTAGAGGACTTAAAGGAAAAGTTATACCATATTAAAAGGATCTTAGCAGAGATATGAAAGTATAATCCAGTTTTGCTAAAAAAAAAAAAAAAAAAAAAAAAAATACAACATGGGAAATTCCAATCATTTGTGACTAGGATCAGTTGCTCATTAGAAACTGATGATTTGACAGTTACCCTGCCATTGGGACAAAGAAATGTTCAAATATCAAGGCTGACTTAAAATAATAGTGCCTCAGCTTCTTATATATGCATGCCAAGTAATTTTAAAGGCATGTGCTTGGTACTTGGGAGGAAGAATGGAAGGAGGGAAACAACATGGATGATGGTAAGGTTGAAAACTTTTCTAATTTGATGACAAAGTGAAGACATGGATAAAAGAAGCTCAACAAACCCCAAGACCAACACCACAACGATGAACATCCCTAGAATACAATAGGACAGACACCCTCAGAGCATCTCAGGGACAGATATAGCATCATCTAAGACCAATAGCATAAAGATGTATATCCCTAGAAGACAACAGGATAGATGCCCCCAGAGAATCTCAGGTACAAGCCCAGCATCCACTGCAGGTTCAGATGTGGAAACCATGAATTTCATTCAAAGCTTTAAGGAAACCCCAGGCTTACCTACCTGACCTAAGTGGCTTTCAGTTTCATATTTTAGGATTCATGTCACCCAGCAGGTAACTCAGAATTACTGTGATTCAATTGTATAGAAAAATGTAGCCCAGCCTGGCCTTAAATTCATGGCAACCATCCTGTGTCAGCCTCCTGAGCCCTAGGATTATAACAGTGCCACTATTTGCTCAATTGGTTGTATTTCCACCAGGGTTTTAGTTTTTGAGCCCTCATCGGAATTAATTATTGAATTGTTTATAGCATTCTAGGCTTTCTCTAACACAGAACTTCATAAACTTTTTCAACTCTTAACCCTTTTATATCAAACAATTTTATGTGACCCCAAGTATACAAAAAATAGGTATACACATGAGATAGGTACTTGCCACAATTACCATAATTTTACAATCACTTGTATACATAATTATACCACTTATTAATGATGAAATCAGTTTACAAACTACTATGATAGAAGTACTTATTCCTTCTCACAAATGATAATAAACATAGATAAATCCATCAGTCATAGCACTAATTTTTGACAAAGCACTTTAGATTGTAGAACTCTTAAGTGGCAGTGTTTCCTTTGTTAGAGAATGGTTGAGATTTAGTAACAATAGTGTCTTTATACAATGCAAAGCCATCATGACTATGGCATATAGGAAAACCAGTACTTATGATAAAAGTGAAGTATTTAGATAATTTAAAGGGAAGATATAGTATGCATATATACAGAAAGTAATATTTGTTGAGACCAGCACAAATGGAGGAAAACATCAAGTTGATGATGCACTGTGAGACCATGATGGTCTCACTATGTCCTGCCTGTGCTCCTTAATCTCCCATCAAAATCCCATTGTTCTGCTTGTAAGGGAGTTAACAATTTAGGCCTTACGTTTTGACAGATGCGGAGGTAAGGGGATTAAGGGAGGGTATACTTGGAGGGACAGTTAACACTAAGGGCCACTTGAGGGATCATATGGAAACCTACTATAGTAGGCAATTCTTAAAATGTATGTATGTATGTATGTATTTATAAATATGTATGAAAGCAATTTAAATTGGAATCACCAAATAACAGGAGGTGACAAAGCCCAAACTAAATATCTGTCTCACCACCAAGTGAAATCACTAATGCCAGAAATGGGTTCTATCTAAATGAGCTGTTGGCCAAAGGGGCCCTAAGGAAACTCCAAACAACTCAGGCTATTGCCAAAGCTATAGGTTATTCTCTGGGAACTGATGATAAGGCCCTGTTGCTAATTATAACACCTACATATCTCACTGACCACAAAGAAGTCAAGCTTGTGCCTAAATAGAGCCTTCACCCTTACTGACTAATGTTCACAGTACTGGAAGGCACTCTGCAAAGTACCAGAAAGTTACACACCAACCTAGCTACTGACCTATTTGCATGATACACTATTGCAATTGTAGTACAAAACTATGGGAGTAACCATCCACTTTGACTGGATGTAAGTAACACTCCATGAGATGGAAACCATGCCTAACACTGCTTAGGTGGCCAAGAACTTGAAACGAGATAGGCCAAGCACCTAGGTGAAATACAGAATCTATTCTGCTAAAAGAACTTATCAATAAAATGACTCCTAAGAACTTTCTCAGCCATCAATAGAGATGCTTCCTCCTGTAGTAGATAAGAGCTAATATGGAGATCCACAACTGGGTGATGGCAAAGTGAGAGACCTTGAAAGACTCAGTCCTAAGTATGATGTCTTCATCAAGACCCTCCCATCAGGGGTTAGAGAACACTGTGGAAGAGGAGCTCTATGCCCAGCAGTAGATAGCCCACACAAAACAAACAAAATGGTATTTTTTGATGTTTTGTCTCATAATGCTTTGTTTGGGCATTGGGTTTTTTTTTGGGGGGGGGGGTTTGTTTGTTTTTTGTTTTTGTTTTAACCTTATGAGTCTTTTGCTTTTATATATAATGGCTTCTGATTTTGTGTTTTCATGAATTGTGTGTATGCATGTATATTTGTATATATGTCTTGTGTGTGTATGTGTGTGTAGGTTTGTTTCTTTTGCCTTTTCTGTGTTTTTCCTGTTTAATTTGTTTTAGTCTGGTTTTTTTTTTTTTTTTTTTTTTTTTTTTTTTTTTGTTAATTTTAATTTTCCAGTTTGCTTTATAAAGAGAGAGGAAAAGAAGGTATGGATTTGGATAGGTGAAAGGTCAGGATGAAATGAGGGAAAATGGTAAGCAGAATTTGTTGTATTGTATTTAGGGGTGGATCTGGGAGGAATAGGAAGTTGGTGTAATGAGTTACACTGTATGAAATTCCCAAATTATCAATGAAAATATGTTGGAATAAAATTTTTATGGAGGCAACAAGACTTTGACTATTAGAATACTGAAGTTTGTAAAGAAAACTGAAGGAGTTGCCCTCCTAATTTTAGGATGTGCTGTAAACCCACAATAGTATGTGTAGAGTGGTGTTGATCTAAGGAAAGACAAAGAACATGGAGGGGAATGGCCCACTGACACACTTGGCTGATTTTTTTTTAAAAAGCATCTAAAGGAGTTCAGTTAAGAAAAGAAAAAAAAATCATTCCAAGGAAAGATGCTATGATAGATCTGTATAAAAGAGTGGACCTCAATTCCCACCTCATGCCATACACAGGAACTGAGAGGAATATGCAGCTATGAATGAACAGAGACTAGCCATATTACAGAATATGATGCAGATCTAGTGTGTTCTATGTAATGGATAGCCAGAACGCACATGCAAATAATGAATCACAGCACCAGGAAAGGCAGTTCATAAAAGAAATAAATAAATAAATATATATATATATATATATATATACATATACATATACATATATATATATATATGGCTGGAAACCACAGTACTGTTAGTCACTATAAATAGCTGTACTAAGAATTGATACTAGTATACATGGGAATGTGGTTACATGTAAAGGACTGCAACACAAAAGTTGGAGAGGAAGTGTAGAAATGACCAGAACACTTACACATATTGGTGGAAACATAAAAGGAACAGCCACTTTCCATGAGTATTCACCAACATTTTAAACTTATTTATTTGTTGGGTTCGGAGCTATGCTCACTCATGGCCCATGTGTTGACATTCAGAGGGAAGATTATGGGAGTCAGTCCTTTCTTTTCCCCATGTAGATCCCTGAGGTCCATGGCAAGCTTCTTATTTGCTCAGCCATCTGGCCTGCCTACGTATAAACATTTATAATTGAGTATATATTTATTTGCCCAATGATTTAGTAATCCCATGTCTCAGAAGAAACGCAATGTCCATAGTAAATCTGAGGCAGAATGAATGCAGTATTTTCCACAAATACATTAAACCAGAAGTGAATCATGAGTCCACTAGAAGGAAAATGGACATGAAATGCACACTGACTAGGAATAATTGGTATATTCGTGAATACAGAGAAATTTCAAAAGGTAATAAATGAAGGGGGGGGACATAAAACATATGCCATTACTGGGATTTAAGAGGCAAACCCAACCTAGAGATGAGAACCAGAACTGGTTATGGAGTTAGAAGAATGAGAAAAAATATCAAGAGCTGCTGGAGTGAATGAGGAAGCCATACCACACAGTCCACTGCACCACAAATCCCACTGTATCACACATCATCACACTGTACCACACATCCCACTGAACCACACACCCACTGCACAACACAGCCCACTGCACCACACACCCACTGCACCACACACCCACTGCACCACACAGCCCACTGCACCACACACCCACTGTACCACACAACCCACTGTACCACACAGCCCACTGTACCACACAGCCCACTGCACCACACAGCCCACTGCACCACACACCCACTGCACCACACACCCACTGCACCACACACCCACTGTACCACACACCCACTGCACCACACACCCACTGCACCACACACCCACTGCACCACACAGCCCACTGCACCGCACATCATCACACTGTACCACATAGCCCACTGCACCACACACCCACTGCACCACATATCCCACTGCACCACACAGCCCACTGCACCACACACCCACTGTACCACATACCCACTGTACCACACAGCCCACTGCACCGCACATCATCACACTGTACCACACATCATCACACTATACCACACATCCCACTGCACCACACACCCACTGCACCACACAGCCCACTACACCACACAGCCCACTGCACCGCACATCATCACATTGCACCACACACCCATTGTACCACACAGCCCACTGCACCACACAGCCCACAGCACCACACAGCCCACTGCACCGCACATCATCACACTGCACCACACATCCAACTGCACCACACATCCAACTGCACCACACAGCCCACTGCACCACACAACCCACTGCACCACATATCATCACACTGTACCACACAGCCCACTGCACCACACATCATGACACTGTACCACACATCATCACACGGCCAGGCCAGTCAAGGCAAATGTGCTTTTTCACTTGAAACTTGGGCATCTACTTTCACAGACCCTCCCTGCCTTGCATGACAGAAGATTCCAGTATACACTAAAGACTCAGAATTTCTGATTTTGTCACCAAGCAGTATTTGTGTTTAACTTTACAAGTGGGACTATAAAATATGCCCATCTGAAGTAGATTTCTGTATGTAAGTTTAAAATAAAACCACAAATAACGCCATTTCATACTGAATAAATGTAAAAGGGCCCTTTGAGCACTAACAGCAACATTTCTCTCTGGATAAACTTGTTTGCTGGTTGGATGAGAAATGCATAACTCTACTTCTAATTTTTGCCTCAGCTGCCAAGAAGTTCAGAGCCAAATTCAGTGCTCAGTTTAGTGATTAACATCCCAGCTGCCCCATATATCAATTTTTCCTGGGTGGAGGGTGAGAAAGGTGGGGGTATTAAATTATCCTGTTTCACACTGAACTGCTTCAAACCACTTGCGAATGATGGTGCACAAATCAAATGAAATGCTGGCTATTCTGACATAATTAAACTTTACTTTTCTCTCCAGATAAATTCTGTATGCTTTGCTTTTCCATCATAGGATGTCAGCTTAGGGAGGACTTTGCTGTTGTCTTCATGAGTCATCTGCAAAGGGCAAGTCATTGTCCACCCAAACGATTCCAAACACAGCCTGCTGTCAGGGAGATACTATCCTTATTTTTGCTGGTAAGAGTTAGAGTACAGCAATCATGTAAAGTGCAGCATATTTAGGGGAAGAGTCCCTAATGGACTGTAAATAGTGGAAAAAAATCATGTGTGCTTTGTTACATTCTTAGGGAAAAAGAAGGAATTGGATCTATCCACATGTGTGTTTGTCTCTGTTCTTGTAACAAGTGTTGCAGCCTGCTTTGATTTTTAGCAGGTAGACACCTTCTGTCCACATTTAACAAAACCATACAACCTTGACCTTGGGGACAGGGAGTCTGTATCCCACAAAGTGTTTATTCTAATGTCACATCAATGAGACAACATGCCCAGCTCTCACCTGTGCTGCTGCTCTGCTTGGCAGAGCTCGGGGCTGGCCCTCTTCATGCTCCTTTCTCCACGTGCCACTTGTCCCTCTACAGGCTTTCTTTGGGAACTTAGCTGGCAACTCAATGGCTGCTTTTTTTGTAAACTTTGGTGAATCCACCTATTGGTACAGAATAAGAATATGTAATGAAATAAAAAATATGATATTTCTTTAAAAAACAAAACAAAACAAACAAAAACTCACATCCAGATTCTTTAAAAACCTAAGGTAGATAACACTGGACTTGACAAAGAAACAAGAAGCAGTGATGACTATTATGGGGGGAAAATGCAATATCTATTGAGATCCAGACCCTTCCTCATCAATGGGACAAGACCAATTAAAATTAGTGTCACTGTTATGCATGCTTTAAAAATTACCTCTACAGAAAACTTGCTTACAATGAAAATGGTATTTTTATGGAACACTGTCACATTTCAAACTGCATGTGAATTCATGATTAACCTTTGCTGTGAGTGGAGCCAGTGTATCTTTGTAGCTTAAGTTCCTATTAATTAAGATCTTATTTTCCTATTGTTGAAGAGAGGCTAATTAATGTGAAAGTATACAAGGAGCTTATGATGTTGCTTACATGGAGTGCAGGTATTTTAACCTCTGTGCAAGATGAATTCATGTCACCTGGCATCGTGTACTAGGACCAGAGGTTAACTTTATGACAAGCTTACTGTCTCTTAGGCTTCTTTTTCACACTGTGGTGACATATGGGGAATGACTGCCTCTCAATAACCTTGAAGTAGACACAGGAATAGGGGGCAGATCCTACAACACAGGTGGAAGATTGAAAGCCAACCAAGGTCCTTGAGTGAAGTGTTTGTTCAGCAGCTTCACGTTTCCAGCCACTCCAAGTGCCATCGCCTTTTTCCCTCGGTTAAATGGAGAGTAGGAGACAGGAACAGCACAAGGGGAAATAATGGAGTAGCCAATGCCAAAATAGAGAATAAATTATGCTGGCTGGGCAAATAGAGTCTTAATTTGTAGTCTCTCAGTTTCCAGTTTCTGTTTCCAAATGTGTTTGTTCCTTCTCTTTGAAATAGGCTGGTGCTCAGAAGGTGGGGCTAAGTTGTCACAACACCCTCCTTTATTCCCACCTCCTCCCGGATCTCAGAATTGTAAAGAATAACAAAGCCACTGCCTTTCACTAACCTGCAAATTGGAAATGTTTCCCAATCACTTGAAGTTTAACATTTTTTTCAACTCCCTCTAAATCCATTGGGAAAGTTGATGGGGCCAAGAAGCCACCCTCCCTGATATCACCTTGGTAAAAAGTACATACTTGTTATTTACTTCACTAATGTGAAATAAGGGTCCCCATGATGGGAGATGTCATTCTGTATATGTTTCTCATACTGGTTAATGAATAAAGCACTGTTGGCCAATAGGAAAGGAAGATAGGCGGGACCAGGAGACAAGGAGGAAAGAGGAAGTAGAAGAAAGAGTCAAGATGGAGAGACTGGGAAGAAGAGACACCTGCCATATTCCCCGGTAAGATAAGACCACGTGGAAATACATAGAAATGGGTTAATACTTAAGACAGAGCTAGCCGATAAGAAACTAGTACCTGGCCAATAGCATAATATCAAATACAGAGTCTCTGTGCATTATTTGGGGCTGGTGTGGCGGCGGGACAAGACCAGGTGGCGGGCGGAAAACCATACTCCTTACATCCCCACAGTTGTTTCACCCCCCTCCCCCCAGAACAGTGATATAGCAGTCATTGACAAACATGCTCTGGATTAACCGAAGGTTTTTCTCTACCATCTATTGAGACACAATCTGCTATAAAGTTTTGACATCTCACATTGTGAAATTCCACAATCAAGTCCATACATTTATCACATCTGTATGTAGTGAGAATATGACACTTCTTGCCTTAGTAGGTTTCAAGCACATGTCATGACTCATGACACTAATAAGTATAGCTGCCATGCTGTATAATAGATTCCTATAACTCATTCGTCATATAACTGAAATGTTTGTGTCTTTTAACCAACATACCCTTGTTTTCCCCAACTCCAAACTTTTGGTGTCTACCATTTTACTCTTCAATGTCATATTGGATTAGATTCCACATAAGAGTTACAACTATGCAGTGTCTCTGCTGACCTATTGGGCATATTTCACTTGCTATTAAAGAAAAGGGGGATTCATTTCTTTTTTTAAAGCTGTATGACTTTACTTACTCAGTTCATTACCTTCATTCATTACCAGTGGATACTTGTTTCCCTACTATAAGTAACTCGAAAACAAAGAGATGCACAGGTGATTGTGACGTGAATTTATTTCTCTAGCTATTCGTTCAGAACTGGGGGTAGGGAGTTATATAGATGGTTCTTAATTGAAATAATTAAGGACTTTTAATCTTTCCTATGTACTATGCATTAAAGGTACCAATTTCCCCTGGGAGCCTCTTTTGAATTGAACAGGATTGGGCATAATATATTTTATCCTGTTTGAGGCTCCCTGGAAGAGATTGTCCCTTGGGGTCATACCAGTAGCCTGAAGCTTAGGCTGCAAGGCCATGGATGCTTCTATCTGATAAGTAAAGTGTTTCCCACCTTATTGGAAAGTTGTATTTCCACACAAATTTATAATGCTAAGAAAGGTGGAATAAATAAATTCTTAATTTTGAACAGAGTGAAACATTCATATTTACAAAGATATGAAAATAAATACAAAAAACACTCCTGGTATCTCAGAGTATCAAAAGGGATACTACCAAAATATGTATCATTTTCAAGAAAACTCACTACCTAAATGAGATAATATTTTACTTAATTTTCCCAGGTAACATCACACTATTCTATAAAACCAGAATATTTTACACTCCTAAACACTGATAACGAAAATGTCTTCTAACCAGGGATTTGTGTTCCATTCCTCTCATAGAAAACATGCAGGAAGACAAGAAGACAAGGTCATAGAATTATTTTAAGGATTAAAGGTTCTCCCTGAAAATTTGTACCCCAGCAACATACATCCCCCTTTGACTTGCTGCAATTGGAATAGACAAGAAAGGAACCACATTTTAACTGTGTGCAATTAAGGAAACTCAAACTTCCGCTCTGACCCACGGCTTTCCTGCTCCCTTGAAATGGGCAACTCCTCTGAATTCCTGCTCCTCAAAGAAGGGGCACAGACCAGAAAGTGGTGAGCTGGAGAAGAGGAGGGGCTGTACAGTGCAGTTTTCCCACTGACTTTCCCTCTGAGAACCCAGAGCTGCAGCTGACCTCAGCAACCATTGGTGGGTTGCCCTTTCATTCACTGGATTTAAAAGAGTCAATGGCAAAGGGTGACTGGAGACAGAGCTGACACAAAACACAAAACAATATGAAAGGAAACAAACAAGCAAATCCAAATGCTTCAGTAGGTGGCATAAACAGTTGTGAGGCCTAGACCATGAATCTTGGAACCAGCCTGGTGAAGGCAGCCATCTCCAGGGCAGCTGGAAGGTCTTGCAAATAAAGGGTTTGCTTTTTCAGGAGACAAACAAAAGACCCAAAACAACAGCATCTCTGCTCTATTGACTAAAATTCATTTCCAGTTTGGCTCTGGAGGAAATCCCACATTTTACAGTAAATGGTTCACCACACCCAAACATCTGTTAGTAAAATATCTCTTTCCATTGCAAAAGCACACTGTGAGTTCATTCAGAAGTGTGCTCATGTCTAAGTCAAGAGCATTTTGTTAAGAATCCTAAATTTTAAAAATTTCATCTTAGAATGAAATAATATGCTGAAGAATTTAACATATATAACTTCCTCCCCTTTGAATAATAAATGGTAAAAAGAGTTTATCTGTATATGCATGCTTTTTTCAGTCACAATAACTTATTTTTAAATACATGTCTAAAAAAAAGTAGAAGAAATACTAATTCTTTCACTAATCTGTCAGTAGCTGCAGTATCCCACATGCATAGTGACAAGGTACTCTGAGTGACTGGAAGGTGCTTTGACTTTAAAAAAAATTGTAGCCACCAGATCGACAGTCCTTGATTCAAATAATTCTGTTAGGGAACCATCAGCTGCAGACACCTTCCTGTGCCCTACACTCAGCCCAACTGAGGACAAGATGGTAATGTCCGTACAGTTCAACATTTTTAGGTTTGACATTTATAGCATTAATAAAACCTGTAAACTGTAGACATTAAAATTAAGATGCCATTTACACACAGATAGTGAATATATTTTTGACATATATATATATATATATATATGTGCACATAAAATAGTAGAAAAATAAAGTAATTAATTAAATACTGATATGCTATGAAATATGTCTTACTAGCTACATATCCAGGCTGACCATACTGTTAACAGAAATTAAGATATTAAAGTTACATGTTATTTTTAAATAGTGTTACTCATAATTAAAGTGCTCTAATCAAAAGGGAACAAAATATTTTTCATGAAAGCTCACTGGAAAATGTTCTACATTGTATTATTCTCTGCTTAAAAATTGGTTCAACAACAAATACTCTTTGACTTAGTAACTGTACATTGTGGAGTATAATAATTAGAATGTTATAGCAGAAGACATAGTATTGTTTTTAAATGACTTTTGTATTTCAGTGAAGCTTATGAAAGTGAAAACTACAAAAAAAGGATGAAAATCTTTGTAAATTAGTTCAGAGTAAGTGCTGACCATCACTGTAAGGGAACACTGTCAAGGAAATAGTTCTTTGTTTCCCTCACTGTAAGGGGACACTGTCAAGGAAATGGTTCTTTGTTTTGTTGGAAAAGTGATAAAAATACAAAAGTCAATAAAACTGTTAAAAGAAGTCTCCATAATTACCAAGATCAAAATCCAGTGGCTTTTCATTAAACATGAACTTTCGTTCTGCCTTCTGCAATATGTAAACAGTGCTGACAATTGGTTTGTGAGGCACTTGCTACAATAAAATGTAATTGTACCACGAGAGAAAGGTGACAATCAGGGGATCATGAAAAAATTACATATTCTCACTGGTAGTTAATTAGCCATGCAAACCCTCCTCAAACAGATATTCTCTTCTATTAGGAATGATTACTATGCAGGCCTACAGATGTCAATATCACAGTCACTCAGATACTTCTTTTCCTACTAATTGAAGGTTGTAAAGCTCTGGTGCCAAGGTTTTGCTTCCAAAGAGCTAATTTATGACTAGAAGGATATTTTATGTCTTCAGTTGCAGCAGCTACAAAATTCAGCAAATCAGAACCATCTGTGCACTGAGACTTGACTCACCATTCATCTAGCAGCCTATCAGTCACATTAGCCTGCATCCTGCATTCTTGGCTCACAGGCACTTGTGATGTTCCAAAGTTCAGAAGAAATGCTAACATAAATGGCATTCTAACCCTAAGTTGTATCTCCACCAGAATGCCCTCCACATAAACACATTTATTTATTTATGTATTTACTTGTTTAATGTGGATAGCCTCAAGAGAGAAGGAGTTGTTTCCTTGTCTGTGTAACAGCACTGCTAATCACAGACTCAGGTTTCTACCATTCTCTTCTGAAAATGCTCTGACTTTATACTTTTCTGCTTTAAGTGTTAACTTTTTAAAGTTGATGTGAGGGCATCCATTCAAAGAAGAACAATAAATGAGATAACAAATAACAACTTCATTAGGAAAATAATTTTATAAGCTGAAATATCAACAGATGTATACTAATAATTTCTAAGAATATTCTCTAGCTCTGTATCATGATGAAACAGGGATGCAAAGACACAGGGCAGGAGTGAGATCCACAGAACTGTAGTGAGAGAACCACAGGCAGAAGTTAGGGATCCAAAGTGAGATCCACAAGGCAGACATTAGGGATCCACAAGGCAGGAGTGAGAGAAAGCCTAGAGAAACAGAAAGGCTCTCATGAATCAAGGTGGAGTGGCCTTTAGCTCTGCCCCAGCCAAGGCCATCAGTGATCACTTCATTCTTTATCAACACACAGCAGGCACAGATCCCATTATAGGAGATAACACACCAGAGGAACTTTCAGGTTTCTTGGTGCTGGGTTAAAAGAAATAGGAATTAATGTAGCAAGCAAGCCATTTTTTTTTTTTTTTTAACCTGAAAGGTCTTCACAGGAGCACTTTCACAGTGTGCAATTACAAGAACACAAGTATCATGGTTATACTTACTTTGTGAAGGGTTGGAGTGTACACATGGACACTCTGTGCTTTAGTGGAAAATTCCAGTGGCCCTAAAGGAACCGCATTGGGATTTAGAATTTTCTTGAGCTTTTGATAGTTTGGCTTTTCATCATAAGCTAAGTTATGAACACACACCAGGAACTGGGCAAGTTCACCTGTGAAGTATTAAAGTTTTTACATGTCACTCATAATTGGGAAGAATTAATAAAATTCTAATAACCCCCAAAGTTTTCTGTTACCTTTTCCTACACACACACACACACACACACACACACACACACACACACACACACACTCACACACACAAAACTCTGAATGAACTAAAAATAAGTCAATAAAAAGCATTTAAAATTTAAAAATGATTTAAAAATGAATGGCATGCTTTGCTAAAAAAGGGATAAACTGACCCCCAGAGTGACCTTTCTATACCACAGAGTTATTATCTGGGAAGGAAGACCTAGTTAAAATGAGAGCCCCAGGTTCTGTTGTTAGGGTTATGTCTATTTTTAACAGTCTAGCCATTAGGCAACTTACTTTCCCCTTTTTCTTCTCAACTTATTATGAGATGTATCAAGGTCTGTTACCTAACATTTAGTTTACCACATCACTATTAACTAGCTCCTGTTTTAGAGCTTAGAACTGTTGTTATCCCTCTACGGGCATCCAAATCCAGTTACTAAAGATAACAACAGTCTGACATTTTCTGAGATATAATCTGCTGCTTTTTAGTCTTGCAATAGCTGGTTACCTGAACTCAGTTTAAACTACAAGTTTATTAATCAGAAGGTCCCAAATGGAGTACAGAGCTTAGTTTGTTGGGAACAAAATGCCTGTTATAAGACAAAGGAGAATTCCCAGCACATCACCAACTTTGAGCAGCTGTACAAAAGGCCTCATGGGCCTGAGGTTTAGAAAATGTGGCACCAGAGAGGATCAGGAGGGCAAAAAGACCCCAAATACATACCCCACTATGTATTTGTTATCATAAGCCTGAAGTTCAGGGCTCTGTGACAGAGCACTGGTGTAAATGCCAGCCTTCCAAGATCTGGGCTTATTCTGTGAAACATAATCCTTGATTTTCTTGTGGATTTCCAGAGCTACTGAACAGAATGCATCAGGCAGCACAGAACTGGCATACTTTTGAACTACCTGTCTTTTGGGCTAGTGATATATTAAGTATCACCAATGACTATATCTTTATTCAAGACAATACAGACTCTGAAAGTACTACTCTGAATTAGATGTACAGGCTACAAACTTCTGCATTGCTTTATATGAAAAAGACAGGGAAAAAACTTTGTAAATCAGATTATTTTCAAGAATGTGCTTGCCCTACAATCTCCTAAGAAAATGTTGCTAGGTACTTTAAAAACTCAAACCTGCTTATATTTAGGAGTAAACTAAATTCATGGATATAAAAATGAATCAGATGTGACTTTTCATGTGACTAAAAATCTAGTATATATCTAATGACTGAAGTATCATGTCACATAGACTAGCTCACAAGCATCCAACCCTTGTACAATCTGAAGCATCCAGGCCCCCTTTTCTAGACTGAACTGAAAGGATTAAAGTTAAAGGAGGAATACAATTTCAAAAGGAAATGACATCTTTTGTTTATTGTCTTACTGAAAAAAATATGCTATCTACTTGATAAGAATAAGGTCAGTTTTATCAAGTTCTTTAATATAGTTACAGAATAAAACACCAACAAAAAATGTGGCAATTTTCACTGTACCTGTACCTCCCCTCTTTTGTCCCTTCCATTAGATGAAAAATATCATAGAAAGGGGAAAATGAGAACCTGGCATGATGACATGTGATAGGACTTCGGAAATGGAGGTGGGGACAGGCCTGGGTTGCTCCTCTTTGATTTCCTTTATAAATGACAACTATGGTCATAAGGCTAAGACAGTATTTCCACTGCTCTGCTCACACATACGCTAAGGCTAACCTTGAGACAGCCTCAAGTCAACAGAGAATAATACTCCTTCTGTTTTCACATGGTGGTGGTACACATCTTTAATCCCAGCACTCAGGAGACAGGGTTAGGCAGATCTTTGTGAGTTTGAGGCCAGCCTGGTCTACAGAGATAGTTCTAGAAAGACACCTTGGCTACACACTGTCTTTAAAAGAAATAAAAAGATTCACTCTGTTAATCTGCCCTTGGTAAAAGAAAAGTGGATGGTACAGTTAGCTGGCTCTTCTCCATATGACCAACAACTTCATGCTGAAGTCACTACCGAATGATTCACACAGGCATAACAAGTGACAGAAATGAGAACTTCAAGTTTATTTACCATTCATACCAATGTGAATGTCAAAGAACTTGAAAAAGTCTTCTACAGATGTGAAAGAGAAAACTGTTTCTAAAATGCACCTCTACATTCCCTAATCAGGTGAATTTCTAATCTAAAGATTTTGTTACTTATCAATATAATGTGACTCAGGTATGAATAGCATTTAGGAATGTACTGGGAATAGCATTTAGTTACGATTTTAAATATATTGACTCAAAAATAGTCTTTTTATAAGTTGACTTTACCTCCATTCAAAAAGTCTTAATTCTAAAAGTACCAGTTGCTATTGACTTTGAATGATCTCAAAATATAAACCTAAAACTCTAGATCAAAACAAAAAGTCAGAAAGCTAGAGTTCTACTGCTTAGGTTCAAATGTCAGAGATGATTTAAAAGTCTTCTCTAGCAAAGTATCTGTGACCCCGAAGCTTTTGCCACTGTGGGAATGGGAGTGGAGAAGGTAAGGCCTACAGAGTGGGAACTGTGATGACCTATGAAGAAAGACACACAGAGGGTTTATCATCCAACTTACAGCAACTACTTCCAGGAGGAGCCCATGAAAGCACCGACTCTGGGAGCCCATCCAGCAGACTAAACAAAACAGGGAAAGGACATGGTAAGTGTCTTCAACCCAAGTTCACTATTTCCGTTAAAACAGAAAACTCTGATCTGTGTTGATAAGACACTACAGTTGTGCCCCCTTTTTACCCAACTGTAATGGATGTGAAGATTAGCAAAGTGGGACTGGGGTGTCCTTAGTTCTAACAGGCCAATTTTACAGCTGTAACTACATAGAGGCCAAGCAATGTAGAAACAGGGAGCATTTAACTCAAGTTGTATACAATTCAGGACTGCAGAGGTAGAAATGGTTGCTATGATGTTGCCTCAGAAACAACAAAAAATACATATAAAATTGTTTGGGGATGGGATGGTGAACTCATTTTTTTCCTCATATATTTGTTGCTTGAAAGGTGTGGGGGTCTCTGCAGATGTCACAGCAGGCAGCAAAACTATTCGAGAAAAGGTGAGAATGAATGAAAACTCAGTTCAAACTGACTTTGTCAACCTTGATCAAAACATCTGGGAGTCTGTCACCAGGGGGTTTATTGTCAGCATATTTAAACCCAATAGAGTATGGGGAAAAGGTTTCCAGGAAACAATCATCCAATTCCAGGTATATAATAAAGCTTAGGGTTGACTACATAGAAACTCATTTGCAAAGTACTTGTGACCTTGAAGGTAGGTTCTATAGCTAAAAGGCCTAGAATCTAGTATGGTCTCTGACCACGATAGCATGGAGGCCATAAAGTACATGACATTTCCTGTAAGGATGGGCTCTGATTACTGGGCACTAAAGATAAAGGTTTAGGGAAGGAGAGTCTGGGATAAACATTCTAGGGGATTTGGGTGAGGTCTGCCTCCACAGATAGCAAAGGTCACCAGGATGTTAACAATATCCATTCTCATATTTCTGGGTGGGAAAACAGGTATTTTAATTCCTCCACTGAGAAGAGGCCCCTGTGTGTTCAACTTTCCTGGTTTCCCTGGTGATCCGTGGGCAAGAAGACCTTTGAACCCCTGGCAAAATCATATTTTGCTCATGCATTTACCACTGGAGAGGGATGGTTTTTAGTTATCTGTGTGACATTCTTTCCCCTGGGAAGAGTTCATACTAACCAATGATTGAATGAGTTAACAAGAAATATCAGTATGATGACACCCCAATAAAACAATGGACAACAGTATTTTGAAATAAATAAATATGACTCAATAGTCTCAACCAAAATTATATAGATTTGAGTGCAGGGTTCACAAAGAAACTCTAGCAGAAAAGTACAGTATGTGCAGTGATCTATGTGCAGTGATCTCAAGGGAACCATGACAGCAAACATGGAGAGACATAGAGGGCTGTGGCCAAATCTGCCACCCTGTCTCATGTTACACCTTCACACACAAATAAAGAACTCTTTGTTTAATATACAAGAAATCTGAAAAATTCGTTTTGACACATAATATATTAGCTCTATTAGTGTTTAGATTTATATTGTTAATCAAATAAAAATGAAGATATTAACATATGTAGCGGTAATGTTTAACTTATTGAAACCCTACATTTTACACAGTACCTTCATTATATATGAATACAGATGCAGATATACTCATTAGTTATCAAAATGAAGGCATCTATGTATATATGCTGATACAAGACTAAAACAAGCCATTCATAAGACTTATTTAAAAAAAAAAAAAAAAGGCCCACCAATGATTGTTGGAATTAAAATACTGCCCTTTAACTGAAATACACTGACACACAGGAGTATGGATGCCTATGGGTGGAAGTGCAGAACGTGTCAGTTACACAAGGACAAAACTCATTAGAGTCCCAATTCTGACTTATACAAATATGTCAGAGACTGGTTAGTCAAGATTCCAAGTGCAACTATTGCACATGTCAGTTTACAAACATCTGTCATTTGCAACCTTTAGCTTTCTATCTTGAGCACTGATCCTACAATGGATCCAAGTGTGGTGATGCACACATCCAATCCCAGCACTTGGGAGAAGATCATGAGTTTGAGAGAGAGCACCTTGGACTATAGAGTGAGACCCAGTCTAAAAAAATTTGAATTTATATGATTGATTTTTATGGCTGAGCAGCTACCACTCTGTGTCCATTTTCACTGTTTTCCTAAAACTCTACTCTCTTGGTACAACAGTCTCTCTGTGGTTAACTACCTCAGTCTATTTTAGTATGTGAGGAAAAGCAGCTACTGAGTGCCTGGGACCCAGCTGACCAGTGGGGAAACTGGGAAACACACTTTTCTAAAACTGACCTTCTTATGCTAACAGAGACAAGGTAAAAATTTTAAATGTAGAATATTAGAAAGTTTATGCAGCTACAGGAGTAATTCATGTAAGTAGCTCAGGTAAATGTTTTCTTTGTTTCTACCTCAAGAAGCAAAACCTGTGCCCTCTGGGGCAGGAATGTGAACATGCTGTCATGACCTGAGAAACGCAAGCCATAGTGGTGCCTCACCCTGCTGTTCTGCACAGTTGCTATCAGTCATACCAAGTACAGACTATTTCCATAGCCAGGAACCATACTAATTCGAAAACAATTCATCTTATAAACACCACCACCTAGGATCTAAGTGCTGGAATATAGCATGCCAAGAAATAAATATTTTGTATTTGCATTTCAAAATTATCTATACTCTATAATTTAAAATCTTAATGGATTTTATGTCTGTTCTTGATTTTGTTTTTTTAAACAATAGCTTTCAAACTAATATCTGTGTTGTCATGGTGGCCAAGAGGCAATTTTGTCTGGCATGCCCCCTCCCCTCCATGGTCTCTCAGTCCTGTTGCATAAAGGGGTGGAATATTTGAGAATCCCTACTTGGCTTTAGCAGTCTGGACAGCTAAAGGATCCTCCAGGTTTGCCTCCCAAGGCAGCTTCCCACACAGCCAGCGCAGCATGCAGTAACCAAGGGTCTCAACGTCGCTTCTTCTGGAAGGGGCTACAGAAAGGGAAGGATAAAAAAGTTCGTGAGAAATAAGAGAAATCTTTGCGTGAGCTCCCATTGATGAAATATGAAAAAAGCCGAATGGGCAAAGTGTCGTGTTTACTCAGCTGGAGTGAAGTTAACCGCCTAGGCCTTTGGCCTCAGTCCACAGACAGACAGGACTTGCTGCTGAAGTAAGGGTCAACTTCCTCACCTCCTCCAACTTCATCTTTCCTTAGTCTAGCCTGTCACATGAACTTGATCCCATGGCCTCTGACATGATCCAGAGAACCCATAACCCAGCACCAACACTTTCTCAAAGAGCCAAGCAGTAAAACAAAGAAATAAATGTCTGCAGCTAAATTGCTAACACATGTTCCAGGAAGTCCATGGGGTCTGCCTCGGTCATGCAGAGACCCTCGGAGTGCAGACTAAACACTGAAGGCCTTTCCTAGCCTGTCACACTAGTGGTCGCATCTGAAGTCAGAAGAATATGACAAAACTGCCATCTAGTGTGCAGTCTTAAAAGCAGGCCCATAAAGATGTTCAGTTACGTAGAAGTGGAGCACAGTGGGCACAGAGCTCCAGAGAGCACACACATTACCTCCAGATAGAGGAAGCCCCCTGAAAACTCCAGCCTTGAATCTGAAGAGAAAATACACAGTTGAGGTAAACATGGAGAGGATGCAGTACACAGAGTGTGGTGGCAAGAACATTCTGAATGTAAGACTTCATATAAGATGTCTTTTCTTACAACACATTGAAAGAGCATGATCAGACCTTGGTAAATATCATGCATATCAAACTCTAAATTGTGTGGACTAATTTCATCTCAAGTTGACACCTTTCCTCAAGCACCTTATATCAACAGACAACAAGACCTAAGAATTGTTAAATACAACTGACACTTGCTAATAAGTCACTGGACTAATGACTAGCACACTTAGTGAATACCCATAAAATAAAATCATGTTATAAGCATTCCAAGCTGTTATAAAAACAGTAAGCTGGCATTTATATTTATTATACTACTAGAATGTTCACCTGCATAGGGATATATAATATCCTGAGCAATATGTGGCTGTTAAAGCTGTTGTAAACAGGTATCCCATCTCATTGTCTTTCATTAAATAAACTCTGAGAAGTTACTGAGTGAATGAACTAGGTCTTTAATTTATAAATACATCCACTGAGAACAATGGTATCACATCATTGTAGTTACCCTGAGTCACCACACAAAAGTTAGAATAGTGCCACCACAATGTAGCTATGCGGGGTCATCATATATAAGTTGTTATAAAAGCAGAGTACAGAATTACTCCTAAGTATACTCTGTCTTAACTGGTATTCGAATACTGGGTTATCAAAGCTCCTTCAATACAGGAGAAGGCCAGGCACAAGAGTGCTAATTCTTTTCTGTACAGACTTCAACAATTTCCTAATACAGGACTTGGCTCTAGTTTTAAAAAGAAAACACGACTCTAGCATGATTCTTCACAATAACAGATTGGCTCCATGTGTACAGATGTATACACAAGTCCCTTCCATGACAGGAATTCCCATTACCATCAATTAAAAAATTCACACCCTTTAATGTTCAAAAAATGGTATTCTGACACCTGTTTGAAGGATACCAGTTATACACAAAAGGGCAGGAAAGAACCAACATGAATTAATGTGGAAGGAAACTTTCCATGACTTCAGGCATCCTCAGGCTGAAGGACTGATAGAAAGCTGCAAATACTGACAAGTCATTTAGATTTCTGAAACCAATATTTCATAAACTGGTCGTCATGTAAAATAGGCTTTGAGAGTTGAGTTCATTTCACTATTACCTAATTAAACATATTATCAAATTTTTAATTTTTCATTATATTCACTATGTTAGTGGGTGAGGTTAAGCAAACATTTAATACTTCTCACTAAGTCCTACAAAAATACTTGTAATATTAAAGAGAACAATTACGTTTTCATAGGCTAAGAAGTATAACAAAAGCATCAAAAAATGTTTCTGAGTTTGTCTCTCTGATTGAAAATTGATCCCAGAGAGACAAAATGCTTGACCTGATTTAGAGAAATCAAACTCTTTCAATTTATAATTTATCATGTCCACTTTCTGGCTACTGTACAAAGAGGAGTAACTGCAGTAACTGTTAACTTAAAACAATAGTTGAGAAGCTAAGACCACTTGCTACTGTGGTAAAGGACCCAAGCTTGGTTCACAGCATCTATACAGCTGCTCACAAACATCTGTAACTCCAGTTTCAGGTAGCCCAACACTGTCTTCCGGCAGCCACAGGCACAAGGTGCACCTGATGCACATACATGCCTGCAGGTAAAACACTCATTTACATGAAATAAAAATAAATAAATGCCTGAAAATATTTTTAACCTTGAAACTGATTGTTTCATTACTTATTTTCCAAATCCATTAGAAAATGCTAACTGAAGCAAGAAATGGAAAGAGTTCCAAATTAGGAATCCCTACAGCCCTACGGCGGCGGGGGTGGGGTGGTGAATCTCAGACCCACCTCCCTACATACAGCAGGGTTGAGTCCCAGCCCCACATTTTCCATGCTGAGCTCTGTAGTCCAATGTACAGAGTCTACCATCTTCAGTACACTGGATTCATTTGTGGTTCATTCTTTCTTGAAAACATGTTTGTACTACATAAGGTTCTCAGTTGCATATCATAACCAATATCATCATTATGTTTGGGTCTTCATACAGATACACAACAATTCAGACTTTTACTTTCTGTTGGAAATTTTGTTATCAAGATTTTTCCTCTAAACTTTCTTAAATTAGTTTCCAAATACTATTTAGTATCTAATTGTATTGTGCATACTAGTACACATACAGAGCAAGGAAAATTACTCTTTTCACTGAGCGTGTACTGTTCACAATTGTTAAACATTTCAAAATGATAAAGTATTGCCAAGCATAACAATAATAAAAATTAGGCACAGGTAGGGACTCAACCTCTAGTTCAGAAAAAAAAAAAACAAATAGATTCCAGAAATAGTTGACACTAGAATTGAAAACTAAAATAAAAGAATGTATCTGATTTATGGAGAGCAACTACTATACACACACTGTAGTGCTGTGTGATTACTTTTTAATCATTCCAGCAGCATCAGTGTTAGTAATCATATTGGCACACACACAAAAAAAAAATCAGAAGCTTAAAAGGTTAAATTACCTGCTTCATATCAGAGAGCAAAAATTGTCAGAATAACACTGAAACTACACTGTTGAGAATGAAGAGGGCACATGCTCAGGCTGATGGCTGCCTCCATCATCAGCTTTAAAGTCATCCAATAGACATCATTTCACTGCTTTTAGTTATGGAGGGAGCTACATGATGTGAGCATTTTGACTTACAACACAGAAAAACATAATTCAAAGTTACTTGCTTGTGCAATAAATAAGTAGCAGAGCAGATTCCCATATTTGCTGAATCACTGACAAAATTCTACTTGCAACCAGACCAACCTTCCCAGAAAGCTCCCTCCACATCACCCCATTAAGATAAGAGGGCCTCTATTAAAAATATTTATTTATAAAGTAGCAATGGTCCAACCAAGCTGGTATAAGATCAACAGAAAAGGCACAATAGAGTTCTGATCTGCACTCCAAACATAAACCAGGATGATTAACTGGACCAACTTACCAAAGATAAAGAACGAAGAATAGGAAAGTGTTTTAACACCATATGTATACGTCAGTGTAGATATGCTATTTGTTTCATTCCTTATATATTATGGAGGGTGAAGAAGACACAGGATTTGGTAGAAAATAAAGCAAACAGGAAAATACTTGTTTCCAGTGAACAAGATGTAAATGTCTACCATATTACTGTATGTGGTCAGAAATTATGAGAAGTGGAAATGTTTGAACAAGAGGCTTACCTGAAAAGGGGGCTATGACTAAAGGCAGGATAACTGTATATTTTATTCTTAGGTTTCCAACTGTGTTGTTGACTATTTTGTCAACTCATATGTATAAAGAGCAAGAAAATTTTATGGTGGCTCCTGTTACTGCTTGAGTATGACATGTCCACCATAGACTTGTGCAGTGCGGCTTAGTGGCAGACTGAGGGGCTCCTGGCATGTGTAGGAGGGGTGGATCTTGAGGGCTTTACTCCTTTGATGATTTAATAATATAATCGCAATGCTGGAAGTGGGTAAGGAGTGGGGAGCAGGGTAACTGAAGGAAACAGTCCCTGGGGGCTCAGTCCTAAAGGCTAAAGTCTGCCCAATATACTACCACTTGTTATAATTTCAAAGGGGTAGTAGCAGAGTGGAATGCAAAGTATAATGATTCAAATAAAAGAGAAACCTAATATCTAGGTTTTTCTTTTTCTCTTTTTAGTACCTTTTACATACCGATCTCTCTCTCTCTCTCTCTCTCTCTCTCTCTCTCTCTCTCTCTCTCTCTCTGTGTGTGTGTGTGTGTGTGTGTGTGTGTGTGTATGTGTGTGTGTGTGTGTTGTGAATGATTAATGTTGTACTATTAGGAAAAGTTATTCAATAGAGCAAAAAGACTTTACAAATTAGGCACTGGAACTGTCCAAACAGTTCAATGAAAAGTCAAGAAATATGACTTAAAGTGTAAATGTAAAAGGAGTATGAGAATGAGATGGTTCAGTGAATAAAGGTGTTTTCCACTACGTTTGAGGACCTTACTTGGTTCCCTGGTGTCCACACGGTAGAGGAAAGAATGAAATCCCATGAGCTGTCCTCTCACTTCTACATGTGTGCCACAGTACCCAACCCACCAAAATAAATGTAATAAAAAATCAAATACAAAACAAAAGGGCATACGTCACATACATGCAATGCCTTCCTTGTCTTTACATGTTGGCCAAAGGCTATATACAGCACTCAAATTTACATAACAAGAAAAGATTAACACTATAGTTTTCTTACTCCTTGGGAAATACTTAATGGCATTTAATTCAATATTTAATGGTATTGCTAAATATACTGTAATAGAAAAAGGTGTTTTTTCTTTTGACTTTGCTGTAGAATATAAGCTGTCATCCACACCATCCCCCAGTTTATTAGCATGGAAACACATTCTCAGTTCCCTCCACATATATTTTGTAAGTTAGAATAATGAAAGAAAATGAAACTATACAAGAAGCAACATAAAATTTGGATTCCATGTGCTGTAACACACAGCAAAAAAATTTAAAGTATGCAATGTATTTGTCTTTGACAATGGATATATTACATAAACAAATAGACACTTAAAATGCAATTTAGATATCATATTTTATGATCATCAATGATGTCAGATTAAAACAGGTATTATATACCCAGTGCCCAGCTCTGAAGTGTTTAAGAAAGCTCTGTCTGTTCAATGCAGTCTGTCTCTAGAGAAATTAGGTATTGACTGCATGCCTCAGTGAGTAGAAAAATCTACAAAAATCTATATCACTCATTGATCTAAATATTGCTTCTTAACATTACTAAAAATGCAACAAATTTTAAAACAGTGTATTTGACACACATATAATTCTCTTTAATTATCTTGCAACAAGAACAAAGTATGTCAGTGCTCGTACATGCTAGTTTTTGTACAGGAAATATTAATAATGAACTATGCCGAACATCCTTACTCTAGTATTACACGATGCAGCAAGTCAGCTGCAGACACTTCCCTGAGGTTACACAGAGTCCCGAGTTTGGAAGAACAACTGCCATGTTTAAATGTAATGTCATCCACAGCACTCCCAGTAATCACCATCTTTCCATTTATCCTTTTGTCCTTCCATCTCATCTCAGTGTGTCCCTCTGCCCACCTTTTGGTTTAGTGAGCTACCTAGTACAAAAACTGGTTTTTCTTTTCTTCCCTTTCACCTGCTCCCTGTACATGACTATGAATTAGAAAACATGTAGATAAGAGGACTAAATGGCACCTTAAACAAATTCCTTTAAAACTTAGCTATGTTCTCAGTGTCTAGATAACAATAAGGAGAATACTCGAGGTCAGCAGACAGTCAGCTCTGAGGGAACAGGCTGCATTCCAGACTATACAGAGGCATACTCTGACTATACAGAGGCATACTCTGACTATACAGAGGCACACTTGCTGTACAAGAAACACTGACAATGACAGGTTGTTTCACAGTGATAATTCTTCTTGATTCTTACTGCTTTCTTTTGTATTGTTTTCTCCCCTGGATTGGAATAGAAAAAGATTTTTCTGATGTTAAATCACACATTGACTGTACTAATAGCTAACATGAATAATTATGAGTCTGATTTTCCCCATTTACACATAGAATTTGAGCCCGGTTTATTCTGGGTTCTAAATATGGTTAAATGATTAGTTTATTTCTAACAAAAATCTGAGTTTAAATGTTTAATTTATAAAATTTAATGGAAAATATTAGGCACAAACACTGTTCAAACACAGTGAGAATATTCAATCTTCCATTTTTATTTCAGAACAAATATATACATATTTAGCAAATATATGCATAGATGTTCATATACATAGGTAGAAATATGTAGCCATACATACATTTGATACATTTGCAAAATGCATGAAAGGAACCTGCTATTTTGTAGGAAAAATGAGCCATCTGTCATTAAATGAATACTCAATCAAGCACAAGACCACAAGACTTCCCTGTAAATCTCTTTCCTGAACATTCTTTCAGATGCAGCACTATCTCTACAATGACACTCAGCTCTGTCTTCTCCCCAAGACCCAGAATGGGGAAATCTACCCAGAGTCTTAATCAGCGCATACTGTGATCAGGAGGTGCAAGAAGTTACAATTGAATACTGAATAGAAATTGGATTAAGTAGTTCATGAAGACACCATAAAAACAATACTATGCAGAATTAACTAAAGAAGACTTTCAGAAATACTGCTATCCAAGCTTTGGTCAGGAAAACCAACACATGACTACTCTTACTCTTCCTACAGTTAAACAGTGTCTTCAACTGAATCAACATCAGAACATACATTAGCAATGGTGCATAAGACTCTGATCTGTGTGATCAATTTCCAGGCACAATCAGGTAAGGAGTATTTTTGTGTCTCTGAAAATTCTGTTTAAAGTAAGTCTGACAAACAAACATTCTTTGGCTTATTGAGAGAAAAATCTTAAAAGTCAGAATGTACACTCTCTGGGCCAGAGATGACTTAGTGATTAAGAGCTGCTCTTGCAGAGGACATAGGCTCAGTTCCTAGAACCCACAGCATGGTTCATAGCCATAACAACCTCCAATTCTAGGGAATCCAAAGTCCTTTTCTGCTCTTGCTTGGCATGCACCTGGTACCAAACACTCATATACATAAAATAAATAAATCTAAATAAATAGCTTTAAAAGGCATCACTATCAATCAGAATTTTATTTCCCTATTTCCTAATTTAATCAAAGCCAAGTCACATTTTACCTTCAACTGTTAGCTTCATCACTAATGATGTAAAGGATGAAAAATTACACAACACTGATTATTACTTTCCTAAGAAAACCAGACTTGACAAAGACATGTTCTGATTTCTTTATCTGTGTTCCAGAGTATAAAAACTGGTTTTCATTTCAGAAGCCATCCGCTAACAACCTTCCTTAGGAAGAACAAAGTTAGTATTTCACTACAGTGGCACACAATCAACATGCTGGCTCCACCTTCATGATGGCCTTCCTTAAAAGACTGTGGGTTTTAATTGCTCTGCAAAATGATCAACACCCTCTGCATTACATGGTCAATGGTCCCTTTAATAGAAAAGGCAATAATATACAGTTGTTTGCACCAAGTAAAACTCGTTAGAAAGTATTAGTTTAGGGTAACAGTCCAACAGCCATTACCAGCACAGAATGTATGTCTTGCTGATGCTCAGTGAAGATGTATCGCTTTCAGAGCTGTTTAAAAATTATGTTTGCTTTACCATGTCTGACAACACTTTTATAAACAAAGTTTGCAAAGAATATAATTTTGAAAGCCAAAGTTTTTTAATAATCACCATTTTTTTTCACTAGCACAACATTAGAATTGACTTTTTGTCTTGCTGACAGAGCAACTAAGAAAGTACAGTTGCACTGAGCATATTGATTGTGAGAGAAGCAGCCATCAGTGGGACTCAGTACCATATATTTTCAATATTGACCTCCTCCTTCCTTTTCCATGGCTTTCTGGGTCGGCTATTGGATTTGGACTGCAGAGTAATAAACAGCTAAGGTTTAATTAATGGTAAATGAATACAAGACATAGGTTATGACTTTAACTAATTAGGGAATTGTTGAATTAAGTCTGCCTTGGAATGCAAGGCAGTACAATCAATATCCAATAAAAGGGCTATGTATGTAATTTACCTGCAAATGTGTTTCCAATACCATCAAAGTGAGTTTAAATAAGTAAGATCTATGAAAGGCGACTGGGAGAGATTTCCCAAGTTAACACTTTGGGGGTTCAGAAGACACTGCTGCTGTGGAGAGATCTCTTTCAAGGCTCTGAGAAGGACAAAGTGCTAACAGGCTAGCGCTTGAAAGCCACTGATTCTCATGTCCCTCAGCACTGCCCAGCAGCCTCACACACAGACCTGTGACTTCTCAGCCTAATGAAGGGCATCAGGCTTTGCTCCTTTTTTGAGAGCCATGCTCTCTGTCCAGTCACAAGGTTTCTGGTTTCTGTCAGATATTCACTGGGATAACAGGAATTTACTACTTTCCACAAAAATCTCGTCAGAACGCTCACCCTTCAGCCTGACCATGCAATAGTCATCTCATGTAGCTTCAGCTACATCAATGTTCTGAGATAAAAATGTGAATTGGAAAAGAGAGAATTACCTACTCCTTTGTGGGCATCCAAACTTGTAAACTCTATTGTTCCATTACAGCCCTTCCTTGGGTTTTCCTGATACTGTTTGTGGTTCCCATTGGGACAGTATCTGTAGGAAAGTCCATAGTCTGCAAGATAAACCTAGAAGAGATGGAGAGGCTGATGAGTCAAGCTTTGTCCTCTGAAAATATGCCCTTTACATTAAGTCTTTAGAACCCTGTAAGTTGTAGGCCAGAGAGAAGGCTCAGTGGGTAAAGGCACTTGCCACCAAGCCCACAGTCCCGATTCAGTTTCTGGGATTACATGGTGGGAAGACAGGACCAAGTCCTCTGACCTCCTGGCCTCTGACCTCCACACATGCACTGTGATGCAAGAACACACACACACACACTCACATACCACAAAATAATGAATGAATTACAAGTTTTAAAAGGAATTTGAAAGTTAAGGAAAACCTCAGACCTGAGATCAAAGTTCCATTAAACCAAATGATAGATAAAAATATGTACTAAGAACCAGGACAACCAACTTTCTAACTTAAATCCTTGCTGCATTATAAGTCAGACTGAACCTTATTCCTAACTGCCTTCTCCTCAGGAGGACATCTAGATGGACTTTTTCATCTGTTATCACATAGGTCATTAGGCTCCGCCTTTTAAAGAACCCTTTCCTGAAACTGTGTCAAATATAGAAGGCAGAGCAGATTTGAGCAATGTTCTTAACGCTTGGATGTGGTATGTCTCTACTGGTAGGAAATTTAAATAGTGTCAGGGGGAGTAACTCAAAAAGAAAACAATGAAATAAAAAGCCCACCTCCAAACCCTCATCAATTGCTTGTGGTTAACAACGGAGGATCAATGGATGACTTTCACAGTGACCCAGATCATCCTCATCGCCATCAATGGAAGCCACTCTTACTCTAAGCAGGTACTCCAAGTAGAAACTGGAACTGTTAGAATCAGGGAGTAATTCACGAACATTCCTCAGATTATTTGAGAGGGGGAAACTGTTTAAAAGCAGAGTACACCCCAAATGGAGAACTGTTTTGAGGACGTGTTTCTGTGACATGGAGATGGAGAATATTCCACAGGTCTCAAGTACACTTTACCATACCCACATACCATGCCTCACAAATGAGTGCAGTTTCAACTTAAAAACATATTACTTCATATATATTTCTTTAAAATTTAAGGATTTAGGCAATGTTTCAAAATGTAGCTTCATGACAATAGAGTATCCTAACCTGGATTTAAAAATATAAAACCTATTGAAAGAAAATTTAGTATTTAGATATTAGTGTCTTAAATGTTACATTTTAGGATCTCTCAAATAGAAGATATTTGGAATTTCTAAACATAAGACACACAATTTTCTTCAACTATTTGACAACAAATTTGCTGAGTGATTGAAAACATGTGTTTCTGAGTTTTCTCTCTATATCCCACCTTTGAGTAACTGATCTCTAGATTCTGAGTAGTCAGGTGCTTTGGATCAGGTGAGCAATCAGTTCTTGCCTTCGCTATGTATCATGCACTCTTGCCTTTGTTTCAAGAACTAAATATACCTCATTTGCAAAGTAGATTCCTGAAGGATGCAACACCGATGATCAGCAAACAGCTTTATTTTAATACACCATATATATTTGCTATTTTTGTAAAATATCAAGAAGCTTTTCACATATAATACTAGCTCAACAAATAAGAGCTAACTCTTTAAGGAGTGACACCATGCACTATGCCTTGCTCAGTCACTGACCCAAGACAGTAAGAAATCCCACAGGTAGGTAATGATGTCCTTTCTATTTATATGAACCTTGAAGTCAAACGAGTCATAAAAAGAGAGCCAGGATCCCAGAGCAGTTCTTAGCTAGCATGTACTATCACTTTCACAGTCATGTTAGATTGATAAAGGACACATCATTCAAGATGACTGTAATAGGTATCTGAAGAAAAAACTGGGAAGAGGCCACAGTACAAGCCACAGGCTAAAAGTGCTTATGCTTCTTAAACTATTACCCTGCACAAAGATTTCCAAACTTCACAGGGAGTTAACTTCTGGAACCTCAGCAAAGACTGGCCAAACTGCTCCAGAAGAGAGAGACACTGGAGAAAGTCTGAATCTCAAAGAGGATAGGGAAGGACATAGAGTTTCACTTTCTCCTATATACAATAAACAGTCAGACTCTCTGGCTGCTTTGACTATCATTATATCATTGAGCTCTGAGCCACAAGAGTGTGCTCAGAATATGAAGGGTACATGTTCACCCTTAATACAAAGACAGAAGTGAATAGTTCAGTAAAGAGACACATTAACCAAATTTTAGTGAATGAACATTTCAGACCTAAGTGATTTAAATCATGCAAGGTCACAGTCTCAAGCAGCATGGCCATCAGCAATGTTTCTGGAGACTTAATAGAGTCAGGGGAAGGAACCAAATTAGCATAAGAAGGCATTGAACATAGAATAAGACTCAGCAAAATGAGCAAGACTCTATCCAAAAATCCTACTTTCACACATACCTTTTAAAATGCATTCTTGTTTGGAATTTTACCAATTACTTTAGCCTGTAATTTTCTATAGCTTTTATGAGTACTGAACACCTACTAAGAGAAAGATGCTGTGCTAGCCACTGAGGGGGAAGATGGTATGCTAGTCACTGGGGGAAGACTGTATGCTAGTCACCAGGGAAAAACTGAGGTAGTCACTGAGGAGAAGACTGTGGTAGTCACTGGTGAAAGACTGTGCTAGTCACTGGGGGAAGACTGTGGTAGTCACTGGGGGAAGACTGTGCTAGTCACTGGGGGAAGACTGTGCTAGTCACTGGGGGAAGGCTGTGCTAGTCACTGGAGAAAGGCAGTGTGCTCATCATTGGGGGAAGACTGCGCTAGTCACTGGGGGACGAGTGTGGTAGTCACTGAGGGGCAAGCTCAAAAAATAAAAATTATAAAAACAAAACAAAAGAGCAAACAAAGTTCCTGCTCCTAAAGAGTGAGTAAGGTTAAAGCCTCCAGAAAGCTGAAAGGCCCCAACTGGGTCAGGTGGACTTGTCAGGCAGTTGGTAATCCAACCCCAGTCTCCTCCCATGATTAACCATGGAGAAGTATGGCATCATTTCTGTCATCTCTGATGGGCAGCTCTGGTGCTGCTCTTTCCACACATATCACATGGATGTGACTCTCAGAAAGCATTCCATCCAGTCTGCTCACTCCCTTTCATTTTCCCATCAGGGCCACATTTCACATCCCCCATATACTTCATCTCCTCAATCCTGTGTCAGCATCTGCCATCCTGAGAGCCTGATTTGACAGGTCAGTAAGTCATAGCCTTCATTCATGACTGAAATGAAATTCTCCTTTGCATAACCATAAAAATCACAGATTTCCTAGATGGAGCAAGCCCATCTCAAAACTCAGCTTCCTCTGTTGCATGACCTCTGTGGCCTCTACACCGTGTCTCTCAGCTCTATGCTGTTCAGACTTCACTTCCGGTCTCCTCAGCCACCTGACACTCTCAGACTTTCAACTGCTCTCATTTTCTATAGTTTGGTGGGTGAAACCATAGGTGATTACAGAGAATCTGTGGTGACTCTCCTAAGGCAGTTGGCACAGGACATGCTTTCCTCCCCCACAGAGCTCCTATGCTCTACTCCTATCAAAGGCTGACCCACATTCATTCTTCCCAGCAAATCCCACCCTGTCATGGGAGATCCCTTAAACCACAAGGCAATTTATTAGGGTTCACATGTGTTCATGTGGGTTTGACTTTAACAATGTAGAAAAACCATTTGTCTTTTATTTATATTTGAAGTTGGACAGTCCAGGAGAGAAGCCAGGATAAACTGGACACACACACTTTATGTCCTACTCTATAGCCTGTTGCTAGACTTGACCTGGCAGCACACAGACTGAATGGACCAAATTACTTTCAACAGATCAGGGGTCAAAATAAGTTACTGGGGATCATAAGCTTAAAATAAAAATGCTGATTTATTGGGTCCTTACTAAGTGAGAAAGGCCAGGGCTTGCACTAGTCAAATCATTCAAATTTCCAGAAAAGGAAGTTGTTTTAAGGCCTTTTTTTGGAGAATTGGAAAATGGGATGAATGAAGTTAGAGGCTCTGTGCAAAATAAATTTCCAGTGACTAGGGAAGCTGAGATCCCAACTTCCTCCATCTGAGCAGAAGCTGTGTGTTTCCCACTGGCTGCATACAGAAGGAAGAGAAAGAGCATGGCATTTCTAGAGATCTGGAGATATCTGCTCTGACCACAATAATCAGCCTGTGAAGTTTCTGATCAAGAGAAGCCTGGTCCATCCCACAGACTCAGAAAAAGAAGCAGCATTTAAGGTGGGCCTTGGAATATATCAAAAAGTCCCAGAGATGGAAACAAAGAAACAACACAGGAAGGAAACAGGGGAGGGGCTGGGTCACTGTATGCACACAGCAAACAGGTCAGGAGAAGCAACAAGGCCAAAGGCATGCTGTATTTTCAGGGGACTTTGAAGGCTGCTCTAAGAGGCAGCAACACAGGCCGTGGAAAGGCTCTAGAAGCAGCAGCATTAGGAGCATTAACAGTGTGGGAAGAGGAAAGGAGAAGCAGGAAGTGTAAGCAAAAGACAGTAGGACAAGGAGAAGAACAGAGAGAAGGCCAGAAGTTGTGGTCATTCAAGGGAGGAGCCAGGAGGAACGCTGAATCTGCACAGGAGAAGGGTGTCAATGAACTGGGTGGGGTGGGAGGAAGAAGAGGTTTGAAAAGAAAATAACCACTTCTGTATCAGAAGTAAACTAGCCAATCAGTAATGGACACCTCCATCCATTCAGCTTGGGAATCTGTCATCAGGATAGGGCTGAGTGAGTGCTATAGCTATGGAAAAAACACAGGATGCTCTTTCTGTGAGGGGTGAATCTTCAAGCAATGAGAAACCTTGAGTACTGATGAGCTACACTCCCTCCAAAGAAAATGCAGCATTCAGTTCAGAGAACTCAAGGATGCACATCGGAGAACATGGGCTCTGGGATCAGACTCCATCCATCTGAGAGCAGCCACCCCTCCTAAGCCTACCAGTGCTCGAATCAAGTTATCATGCTTCTTTGAACTTTGTTTTATCATTCAAGAAGGAAGGACAGCATCTCCTTCAGAGTG